TAACATATAATTGAACCCTTTGAATTAGTAAAACCATTTCTATATTTTACACCATTTATGTATCCGTCCTCTTAAAGTCGTAATTGTTTTTGCAATAACAATAAAAGAAGCAGTTGTAAATGCTCATTGTTTTGGAGAAATTGGTATAAAAAGAGACAAATTTACTAGGTCTCACAATTAAGCTGTTTTTTATAATAGAAAATAAGGGTGCATATGGTTTAAAAGAAAAGGTAGGGAAAGGCAACCCTACAGATTCCCTACTACTACTCAGATTAGAGATTTCTGAAGGACAGTCCCCGACCCAATTATGAAATGGCCTAAGATAGATAGTACATCAGGCATCACATGATTGTCCTCTTTTTATCCAAGTTTCAAAGTATCCACATATATCGTACTATATTCTATGATATTTATCAATTTTTTTTACCTGAAAAAGTATTCAATACTAAGAACTAGGACATATGGCCATGTTCAATGCTTAATATCATATGCTGACCATGTTCAAAGTTTAATACTTGAAACAATTCTTATGAGGGAATATCCCTTTTTGCATCGTACAAATCACCATGTATTATTGAACTTATCTTCATGGCGATTGGATTCAATTTGATAACAGTGGGAGACCAAAGATAGAAAAGGGTGAAGAAACTCTAGCTTCAAGCAGGATGTGCCGATGTGGGTGGGGTCAACATTTGCCATGTGGGTCCCATCGAGATCTATTGTGCTCACAAGATGCCCAAAAGAAGAGAAAAGTTTTATTCTGATTGGTCGATCTTTTGAAAAGGAATTTTGATCCGACAAGCTGGTTACCTTGTGTAAGGAGTAAGGAGCATAAGATCAGAATGCATGGAACCGACCATATGGCTATCTCACATTTTCTTGGCAATTGGCATTATTAATTCAGTGCACAACAACAACCCCCTCAGACGAGGATTCCCCTATTCTATTGAGCCATCGCCAATTCGCCATTATGGCATCATCTCTAACCTACCAAGACATAAACACATGGTCCGAACTGATCCTAGTCCCTAACCTACGTGCATGTTCTGAGGGAAGTGAATTGTCTTGTTAATATTGGTCATTGGGCTGCTGTCTCTAATTTTCCTTTTTCTGATGTTAAGTTAGATTTAATTTGTTATTTTGATGGTTGGGGCCTTGTGCGTCGGAGTGTTTTTTCTTTTTGTGGCTGTGTTTCTTTTCCTGGTTGTAATTTCTTTCTCAATTAAAAAAAAAAAAAAACTGATCCTTGTTTTGTTAAGAGATTTAGCAGGAATTACAAAATTGTTTAATGGGGCATATTAATACATTTTTCAACAAATTTTTCATATAAGAAAGGGGTCATTTAGTAGAACACCCCTAGTTTCACAGATTTACTTAAATCTATCGTATAGTTTTCATTTTACTAAAACTCCTCTATAGTTTGCAACCTATTTACTTAATCGATCTTTCACTAATAAGTGCTTGTTTTGCCATTTGAAAATAGTAACATGATCATCTAAATTGAATGTAAAATGTTCAAAGACATGGGCCATGATTATTTATTCCAAAATTACACCTAACAATTTTTCGTATAGAAAGCAAAATTGACCAAATAGAGTAGTTGTTTGTATTTTACTAAGGGCAAAAATGATATTTTCATTTTATTATTTTTTGATTAAATTTATTCAAATAGACATTAGGGTCAAAACTGTCATTTTCCACTATCATCAAATGCAAGTAAATTAAGTAAATCATTTGCAAACTATATATAGGTGGTGTTTTAGTAAAAGGGTCTACTTTAATAAATTCATAAAACTATAGGGGATGTTTTAGTAAATGACCCTACACTACCACTTGTCATCATTAATTCTAACTATAGTTGGAAAAATTTTCTATAAAGATTTTTTGTTTCTAAGGTTGTGTTTGATTGCAATGCAAACAAACTTGTACTGGTGCAAAACTATGGCAGTGCAAATGATTTGAGTGTAAATTCTGGCCTATTCTTGTTTCAAATTTTAGCTTATTTTGTTTGACTGCCGTACAAATGAAGTAAATAAAGACATGAATCAGAATAAAGTAAAACCTAAAACAAAGTTAAACCAGAATTTGCATTTTTTTTTCCATTTGCACTCCCATGCATTTGTACATTAAAATAAAACTACACTACAACCAATTGCAACCTAAATGTTCTATTGGTGGTAGCTTAGTAGTAGTGGAGCTTTGAGATCAAATCTTGCTATCTTATGGGCCTTATAGGTAGATTTCAGATGAGCTCCCCCATAAGGTGCAACCCACATATATGAAGAAACATCTCCACATGATAAGTACAAAAAATATTTCCAATTCACACTGAGTTGTGCTTGTGGGTCAAGCCCCGTGATGAATATGTCTGAACTCTTATAGGTATGGCCTAATKGGGGATGAAGGTGGCGCTTGATAAATCTGAAATTTCATATCTGAAAATTTAAAAAGGTATTTTTTGTCTAAAATTTAAAAGAAACATATGTGCTTTTCTACTTTTAAGAGGTTCTGAATCCATAAGTTTGTTTTTATTAGATCAACCCTTTACCATATGAAATTTATTGATTTTACTATTTTACCCCTAGAACATACTATTTGAAAATGTTGAGTTCAATTTGCATTATCTCATAAAAAATAAATTTCAACCTCAAAATAACATTGGAACAATATAAATAAAAAATAATAAATTAATAAATGAAATGATTAAAGTTAAGAAAATAATTAATGACTATAAAAATATTAAAATAATTAATAATTAATAATTTACATAAATAAAATTTTAAATATTTTTTTAAAATTAATGAAATAATTAAAAATTACTAGTTAATAAAAATAATTAATAATTATTAATGTTTAATAAAAATAATAAAATAATATTATTACTACTCACCGAATCGCTGTTGCAACTTGTAGTGGTGGTGGGTAGAAGATAGGAGGGGGAGAGAGAGAGAGAGGGAATTACTGCCGTTGCAATTTGCAATGCAGTGGTGGGAATATAGGAGAGAGAGAGAGATTGTGTGTGCAGCGGCGGTAGTGGCAGTGGAACTTCTTTATAGTGAGGGTTTGATTCAAATTACATCAAGGACAAAAACATATAATATTAAAATTTCTTTGAGGGCATTTATATCTTTTATGCACCTCTAAATTTCGTTTGAGCGCATTAAGTAGAATCTCCACCTCTTAGAAATTAAGATCTGAAGTCCAATTTCAGATTTATAATAAAAAGGCATACCAAATGAAGATGGTGTCTGAAAAACAATACTTTCAAATTTAGACATTTTAAAAGAGCAATCAAAACCCACCGAAATCTTACGAATGCACATGAAAACCACAAATCATACCATGAAGAGCTTAAAGTTCTTTTCTGAGCTGATAAACAAATAACCTACAATTCTAACGTCTTCTTTCTCAGAGTGATGCTAACAACTACAACGTCATCTGCAACTTACCGAAAAGGCGAAAACACACAATTTAGATAGAGTGATGCCAAGTGACCTTCTCAACTACTGATCGTTAACTTACCACGAGCCTAAATCACAAAATCTAAGCTATTACTAAATCTGAACCAGAAGATTGTAGAAAGTCTTACGTGTGAAGATATGTGGGGCCTCACTACTCCCTGTTTCTTGTAGCGTTCTCCGTAACCACAAGGTCACACTGACCCGACCTGAGAATAAATTAGTAGAACTTGTGGTTGAAAACAATGACGTAAGCGTATTGCTTTGAAACGAAAATGAAAGGAAGACGAAGACAGTATTATATATGGTCTAGAAACTAATATGTGGACCGCGAATGATCATGAATCCTAAGATGTGGTCGGTGGTCCCACTAATTGGATGGTTCGATCTGGGTACAGGCTGGTCATCGACCTCTCTTACTAGAATCTCAACCTTGGTTTCTTCTATCATTTTGAGGTTTTCCACACCGATTTCTCACATTCCACTACTTTTTTTTCTCCCTTCACTCTCACTCAACACAGGCTATTATTCCCTTCTTTCTTTAATTTTGAAAAATACACATCAACTCCCACCTTAATATCTTATATAGGGATTATCGTGTATTAATCAATGCCTCATTTGATTCATGGGAATAAGGGTCTGGAACTGGAATGGGAATGGACCATTCTAATTTTAACAGTTTTATTATGCGGAATGGAAATCCCATTTTCATTCTTGAAGGAATAATATACTCTCATTTCTTTTTCTTCTTTGGAAATAAAATCTCATTTCAACTGATTTCAATTTCTTTTCTAATTTTTGTTATAAGAATTTGGATTATGAAGAATTTCAATTCTGATTCTGATATTTATTCAGATTTTAATTTTGATTATGAACCAAATGGATCTTAAATTTTAATACCTGCAGCAAAATTAAGACAAAGTATCTCCTCATAGTGTAGATGGACGAGAGTCATCTATATTGACTGTCACGGGACCCACTTGAGAAGACACAATATTCTAGATGTATGGTCTACGGTCCCAATGGTAAGCCATACAAAACGAATAAATTTACATGCTCAGCATTTATTACTTTTTAACGATAAACGATGTTTTTATGTTAAACAACATTTCTAGCTTGCATCAAAACAAGCATTTTTTGGGCAATATACAAAAAAGAAAATTAAAAAAAAAATTTAATTCACATGTGTTATTAGACAAATTTTCTTTCTCGTTTCTTTCTTATAGACTTATACTTTCCTTCCTGAAAATTCTTTCATTTATTTCTAAATTATTGGATTTTATTTTAATGTTTGTTTTCTACTCCTTTTAATATTATTATGTGTTAAAAAAAATTTAAAAACTCACAAGCGGTTGTACGTCATTTATCAAAAAGTGGACGCGCCCAAATCAATCCCCTTAATTGATTTATATTCAACATAAAACCATCGTCAACCCCAGGGAGCTTACTGTAATCTTGTGATTTTATCTTGCGAAAGTGTTTATTATTATTATTTTTATATTATTTTTTTTATTAATAATAAAGCTATAAAACTAAAATCTACGACCTCTAGTATCTCAGCTCATTTCGAGTTTGTTGTTCGCTTCGCTTCTCCCCTGCTGTGGCTCGACGATCTCCCTTGTTGATGGATTTCCTTTTTATCGGAAATCTGAATCAAAGCTGCTTTTTCACCGTCTTCTCCGTTGTTCTTCGCTTATCTTGATCCAATTAATTTATATAAATTCAGGGATTTCTCTTTTGAAAAAAAACTTATACAAGCTACATTGAGATGCTGGCTGCTGGTTTGAGATCATCGACTCTTTTCATCGTCTGAAGCTCGGTTTTCCCGCTAGTTATATCCGAAGAATTTAGGGGTTTGCACCCCACTTCGATCTGGAACCCTCTGTTTCTAGCTACATTTAGCGGCAAATTTTGCCACTCCCACCTACTTCTCTTTAATTCTTAATTTTCTTGTTATTGTCTCCTTGTAGTGGGATAATTAGGGTTTTTCCTTCTCCATTTCCGATTTGGAAGCATCTTGTTTCAGCTGGGCAATTAGTTGCGCCATCTCTTTCTCGCAACATATGATCTTTGATTACTGTACCTGCAAGATTAGGTCTTCTGCTTTCTTTAGATCTCAGACTCAGTGACTTTTCGCTGATACACATTCCTATCAATCTCAGTATCTCTGTTTTTAACTTAATCTGTTGCAAAGTCGGGATTTCTCTTGTCTACTTTTTGTTCTTAATTACGAACGATCTGAAGATTCTAGCTTCTTACTGGTTCTTATTCAATCTCGATTCCTTGAATTTGTAATATGTGTTATTTTATTTCCGACTTTGCAATATTTTGAGGACTTTGAGCTTTGCTTGCTAAGATGCAGCCTGATCAGCGAAAGAAGGTAAGGATATTTTTATTTGTTTATTTAACTATCGTTCTTCCCTGCCTTCTATTTGTTTCTTTGTATACATACATTAGAGATGGAATTACATTGTTTTAATTCAACTTCAGTTCTCCTCCAAATACTGATTGGATAGTATTGTTTTTTCCTCACTTCCTCTATGCTTCTTAACCCCTCTCTTCTTTTCTTATTGTGTGTTTTAAGGTTTGTCGATTCAGTAATTTTCTGCATTTCTTTGTGGCATCCTTTTTTTTTCTCTTTTAATGGATAGAGGATGTGCCATAAACTGTTTTGTGTTGCTGCCAAAATTTGCAACAAGGGTGAATTGGAAATTTGCTGAAGACCTCTGGAATGTCACCTTGCTGAGAGTGAGAGGGTATCACCTCGGCTAGGGAGATCTTAGCTGTTGAAGGGTTACCTCTACTCATAAAGGAACGTCAGAGGCCCCGGGGTGAAATCTTAGGGTCATTTTCTTACTTATTTGTTATTAATTTCTGTTAAGCCTGCAATTTTTTTCTGTTATTTAATTGGATGAAACAATTCTTGGATGACATCATTGGAAATGATCAACATTGACTTCACATGAGGTTTACTTTTCTATGTGAAAATCAATCTCAGCTATAAGTGAAAATTTTTTCTCATGTAGCGCCAGTAAGGAGAAGCGTTCTATTACAAGTTGAAGGGATTAGAAGAGCCAGAGGCAGCCAAAAAGGACATGGGTTGAAGTAGTAAGAATTGATTTGAGGGCCCATAGTATGGGTATATCAATGAATAGAACTGAATGACAGAACATGATTCGTGTAGTTGTTCTCATATAGTCATATAATTGGGACAAGGCTTAGACGACAGCAACAATGATAATGATGATGACATAAGCCAAATCTGCCAACTATTTGAAGTGTGAAGTTCCATGTTGACAACTGATTTAGATAATAATATCATCAGGATATATCACTTTTGCATCAACTGAATTACAATAATTCATTTTCTTTTGAGATGAAATGAATATTTAAATTTCATTTGATAATTTTATCTTAACGTTTACATGGTATTCACAGAACTGTTTTTTTGTGATGTTCTTTATTGCTTCCAGTTTAGGATTTGAAATAATTTCGTTGGTATATAACCGTGTTAGTTTCACAGGCCTATGGTGGTGATTCATTTTCTTATGTTATTTTGTATGTCATCAAATTAGGATGATACTGATGCATGGCCAGTGTCTTGTAATTTGGTGGTGCAGGCATCTGTTGAAGTAGATTTTTTTACAGAGTATGGTGAGGGGAGCAGATACAGAATAGAAGAAGTAATAGGTAAAGGGAGCTATGGTGTTGTTTGCTCTGCATATGATACATATACTGGGGAGAAAGTTGCAATTAAGAAAATCAATGATATCTTTGAGCATGTCTCTGATGCTACACGCATACTTCGTGAGATTAAGCTTCTTAGACTCCTACGTCATCCCGATATTGTGGAAATCAAGCACATCCTGTTGCCTCCTTCAAGAAGAGAGTTCAAGGACATATATGTTGTTTTTGAGCTGATGGAATCTGATCTGCACCAGGTTATTAAAGCAAATGATGATTTGACACCAGAACATTATCAGTTCTTTCTTTATCAGCTTCTTCGAGGCTTGAAATACATACACACAGGTTATTTAGAGCCATCAATTTGTTCATCAGCTCAGTTATTTTGAACTAAGCTTATCCCTTTTGAAAATGGCATGATAACTTCCTTTTTTTCCCCTTTTTTAATTAAGTGAATTTTAACTTGTTTTACCTTTTTCTTATATTTTGCTTCAATTATTTTGCAGCAAATGTCTTTCACCGAGATTTAAAACCTAAAAACATCTTAGCAAATGCTGACTGCAAACTTAAGATTTGTGATTTTGGTCTTGCAAGAGTTGCCTTCAATGATACTCCCACTGCCATATTTTGGACAGTAAGTTCCTTGCTAATAAAATGTAATTTGCATTATACAGTTTTCTTCTTGGTGCTCAGCTTATTGCTGCTGTGCTAAAGTTGCTAGTGTTGTGACATAAATTTTAATGGCCATAAATCCATGTGCTTACAGGACTATGTTGCAACAAGATGGTATAGGGCTCCAGAATTGTGTGGATCATTTTTCTCAAAGGTGCATGAACTTATTGTCATGATACTTATTTTGGTTATGCTCATCTTATTGTCATGATACTTATTTTGGTTGAACTGCCATTATGATTTATTAATGTCTTCGCATCATTAGTTTTGTCTATTATTTTTATTTATGGGGGAATTTTGAAGGGCTTCATGCACCATATATTTTTCATTTTTAACACATCTGCTACCTTTGGTTTTGTCAGCATATGCCCTTGATGTGCTTAACATGTAAAGCCTTCATGCTCATATCACTTCATTATTCTGTGGTATCTCACTACATCCATCCTTCTTGTTTTTTTCCCTCTGAGTATATAGTCTCCTGAAAACTGTCAGTGTTGTACCTATGAGGAAAAGGTTGGTGTCTCATCTTAGCTAAGTTTGGTTTAGGGGCAAAACATACGGCGGCGTGTATAACCCCTGTCCCTCCTTTTTTTCTTTTCATCTATTTGCTCTTGTATTATCCCCTTCCTTTTTATTTTCTTCCTCAGCATCACTTGTTTATAGACTTAAAAAGAAACAACACACAGACACAGTAATATTTTGTGAATAGACCTAATACAGTTGCATTGATGTGGACATGAGAAACAGAATTTAATTTCCAGGAGTTCAACTCTAGGATTCATGGTGACCAGGGTTCAATTCTTCGAAACAGCTTCCTTGTATGTGCAGGGGTAAGGCTGTGTACACCTGTTCCTCCCCAGACCCGCATTGGCTGGAGCCTCATTCACTGGGCTGCCCTTTTTTTATGGATCATTTACTACAATACTCCCTATAGTTTCATGAATTTACTAAAACCTACCCTATAGCCCTATAGTTTGTGTTTTACTAAAACATGCCCTATAGTTTGTAATCAATTTACTTAATTGACCTTCCATTAGATGAAAGTGGAAAATGACAATTTTAACACTAACATCCATTCAAATAAATTTAATCAAAGATTAGTGGTACTTTTGGAATAAACAACCATGGATCCATACCCTTGAACATTTTCCACTCAGTTTAGGGGTGCTTTTGGAATAAACAGCCATGGGTCCATGCCCTTAAACATTTTCTACTTAGTTTAGGTGATCATGTTACTATTTTCATATGGCAAAACAAATAGTTCTTAATGAAAGGTCGATTAAGTAAATAGATTGCAAACTATAAGGGGTGTTTTAGTAAAATGTAGACTATAGGGCAGGTTTAAGTAAATATGTGAAACTGTAGGAAATGTTCTAATAAATGACCTTTTTTTTATCAAGCATTATGATTTTTAATATTATTCTTAAAATTCATATAACCATGTAAATATGACAATTTAAACTTCAATTTACAATTGACAAGTTAAACTCGCAGTCTTTGCCTATTTACCACGCAACTACACTAGTTGTTTTTCATCCTTTCCTCATTTCAATAGTAATTGGAAAAGATCCATTAAACAATGGATAATGGGTTATGTATATAAAAATACAAATACTAGGGTCCTATTAGATAGTTTAAAATGGTTGGACTGCTGTTACATAGAGGTATTTTAAAGTGTGGATTCATAACTTTGGAGATTTGATGCAGTGAGAATATTGGTAAATCTACCTAAGTTCAAGTTGCACTGTAGCCGAGTCTGACTCAGATACAAATCGACTTATGGACATACATTTGATTTTGATTCATGTTTTCCCTTCAAAGGTGGGTTGTCTATGTAACACCTAGAAAAACAATTTGTCTTGATCTCAAGCAAATTAGGTCTTAGAGTGTTGCCGGTTGAAGCCAGTGTTTTAAAAGCACAAGGGCCAATTTGTGCTTGAGGCACAAGGCAAGGTGCTCACCTTTTTGAAGCAAGGTGCAAAAATACAAAAAATGCTAAAAAATAAAAAAATGTCAGATAATTCAAAAAATACTGAAAATTAAACATAATATTAATAAAATATAAACTTAAAATTTAAAATAAATGTTTTGAAAAACCTATTATCTAAGATTAAAATACATAAACATAACATGTAAAGCGTATTCAAATGAAAATTTAAAAATAAAAGCAAACATATAAAGCATTTTCAAGCATATAAAACCCACAATCTCTTTTTTTCCCTCAATTGTATTACTTCAAATAGCTAATGTGATGTAAAACATATTGCACTCTTGATCTTATGAGTTGCCTTTGTACCACGCCCCTCGTGGCAAGCCCGAACAAGTCCATGTTAGGGTCTTTAGTTCTTATTTCTTACATAAAAAATAATGATTTTATAACTTAATTGCCTTTTAAGAAGATATTTTATTGGAATGAATGAATGAACAACATTAGCAAATAGGATTTAATGGGGGATGGTGTTCGGTGCTTGAAAGAAGGGATTTTGATGGGAGAACATTTTTGATGGGGAGGACTGAATTTGTTCTTTAGGAGTAGTTAATGGGGGATGGTGTTCAGTGCTTGACAGAAGGGATCTTGATTAGTTTGTTTTGTAGTTAGCTTTTAGTTTTTGGCTGGAAGAATTGCTTTTAGCTTGTTTGAGAGGTGTTGTTATCTTAGCACCTGTTAAGTGGTTGTAATCAGTTTTCCTTTTTTATTTTTAAATAAAAAATTTCTTTTACTATCAAAAAACGTTTTGGGATACTTAGCAAAATAAAAAACAAGTTTTGGGATTGGGAAGGTTAATTCTTCATTTTAATGTTTTAAGGAAGGTTTCAGTGAGGGCTGTTTTCTTTTGATTTGGATATTGGTTTTGGGGCTTGTGAATTGGGTTTTAGTGTATACCAAAATTGCGTCGTGAGTCTGGTTTTGAGGGATGATTTTATTATTGGATGGTGGGGATTTTGGTTTGTAATGTTTTGCCTTGTTTCTTTTCTGTTTTGGGTGATTTCTCATCACCTGACGATGTAAGCTGTTATTTTGATTTTAATGCATTTCTTTTTTATTTATTAACAAAAAAAGCATTGGGTCTAAATTCTAAAAAGCCCACAGAATTGAGTAGGGAAATGGGGGTGGGATAGTTAGTATAGCAGATGTTAGGATGAATATGTAACTGGTCCAAACTAACCTAGTGGTATCTTAAAGTGCACAAGTTGTATGGAGCAGTATCTTGCCAAGGGTCTATTATTAAGGTTTTTCTTTGTAGAGATGTGGGTTGAGGAGCTAAAGTTTTTTGCTAACCTCATGGCAGTCAGAATGACAAAAGTTGGAGTGATGTAGGATTGAATAAGGAGTGTCCTGTAATAGTCCCTAAGAATCAGAATTGTGTACTGAAGGAGACAAACTTTGTATTTAGGTAATGACAGGGAAATTGTGATGTGCAAAAGAATATGCACAAATAAATTAAGAAAATAAGATGCACAAGGGTGCAACTGCAATCCAAGAACTCAGGGATCAAAATTTAAGGAAAGTTGGTAAATGAACTAGAACTAAAAGAAATAAATAAGGAAGTAAAATGAAGAGAAAAAGAAACTACAATGAAATACATGTAAGAAGTTTATTTGGGGTAGTTACCCTTTAGAGTAATGGTTTCATGTAGTGGTCAGGTTCCAATTGGAGCTGTGGAGAGCATGGTTCAAAATTTCAATACAATATGCCCTGTATCGGGTGCATCTTATCGTATCAGGAGCTGTCCGAAACCTCAAATAAGGGATGTTTTGGACTTTGACTATTTTCAGGGGGTAGACATGCTTAAAACCGACCCCCTGATGCAATTTTGAAAAATAAACTTAAAATAACAAAGTTTAAAGTAGCAAAACACCTGATATGCCTGTTCGTGCGTATCGGGTGTATCAATACTTTAAACCATGGTGGAGAGAAGCAATGCAACTAAAAGTTTCTGTAACATACGAGTATATTTATGAGAAAAGGTAAGGGAAAATCTTTATTCCAAAAGGCACAGTTCCTTTCTACCACTACATTATGAACCTTAAATAAACTTACTTCTCTAATTGAAGGAACCTGAAACGTGCTCAGCTAACTATATCATCTACATGTAACAGGCTTCTTCAATGACACTTCCTTTTTCAGTACTCATCAATACATTTTATGGGCATTTTGATGGTGACATTTTGGCTGTTGAGAAAATTTTGATGTACTTGCTCTGTATTTCAACTTAAATTATACTGAAAACTGAAACCTATTCTTTAGGCTCGATTTGGAAATAGTACAAATACAAATATGTACAGTGCGAATACATATAAAATAATACAAAATACAGGGTTTTGCACTGTACATATTTTGTATTTGTACTCCTTCCAAACTGAGCCTAGATTCAAATAAGGACTTAAAATTTATAAACTGAAATAGATATCAGTAAACAACTCTTCAGAAACAAAATAGAAAGCCTGGGGTGGTACTTTGACTTAAACTAAGTATAATCAACTTTATAATTCCTGTTGTGTCATCAAAGGGCTCTCTATTCAAAAGAGATTGTCTAAAGGATTTTTAAGTGACAAAGAAAAGTAGAAGCTAGTCTAAAAAAACTTAAGCAGCACAAGAGAAACTATTATTTAGAATTTATAGCTGGAAGACAGATCAAATAACCAAAATAATGGAAACCCATAATCTTTCTGTATTTTGCCTATATTTCTATCAAGCCATGTGTTAATTGGTGTCCTTGAAATTGTAGATAGTCAAATAACCTTTTGAATAGTACAAAGCAACAGTGAGTTATCTTTTCTGATTAGTGACAAGATCAGTAATTTATTAATGAACAATAATGATTTAATGGCAAGTACAAAGTACATGCACCCCTAACCCCTAGCCAAAACAACTCCTTTAATTGACCACTTCAAACCAATGGAAATACAAAACAAAAAGTAATAGAATATTAATATCAATTACCCAAAAATATAGAAGAGGGGAGCTATTAGCTAACCCAGAATAGTCATCCCCTAATGCAATGAGTTTCTTTTCATTCTGGCTAGGAAATCAGCAAGGAGCTAGTTGATCTTGGATCCATTTGAACAAGCTTCTTATCCTGAACGCTAGTAATCTAGACTCCCTTATAAAGTGACTTGATGGCTGAGATCCATCTGAAGGTGAGAGCATCCATCTTTCCATCCTCTCACTAGCTGAGTCTCCCATCATCTCTTCTTTCTTCATATTCATTAGTGGTATGACTTTTTTTTGATAAACGAAGAATTTATTAGAGAAAGAAATTAGAAGCAACTTTTACAGGAGACACTTGGAGAGGCACGAGCTGCAACCTTTTCAACCCTTCAAACACTTTAAAAGAAGAAAAAGGTTACAGCTGAGCCCAATACGAATGTTCCCTCGTTGCCCCTTGCTTGGCTAAACAGTCAGCCAATATGAATGTTCTCACCAAGCATTTGAATCTTTTAAGTTCATTTCTGAAGCACCAAACTACAGTCTCTGGATTCTGTAACCACCCCACGACCACCTCAGAATCACCTTCTATTAGTAGCTTCTCCACTCCTATCTGTACAGAAAACTGTACCCCTTGTAGTTTAGCTAAAAGTTCTGCCCTCGTGGAGTCCCCCTCACCTAAAGGACCTGAAAAGAGAAGAGCCACAGAACCACTTCCATTCCTTATAACCCCTCCCATCCCAGAAGGGCCTGGGTTGGCCAGGCTACTCCTATCAAAATTTAATTTCAGGAAGCCTTTAGGTGGGGGTACCCTGCTCATGTGCATCTTTGTCTTCAAAGAGGAACTGCTTGCCACTTCTGCTCAATGCCTCTACAGATCATTAAAAGAAAACTGCTGAAATAACTCTGAAGATTTTAGCCACACTATAGCCCTATACAGGATACGATCCTCAAATCTTGTTGGCTTCGCACCTTCTCTTGGAATATTCTGGCATTCTTTTCTTCCCACATTGTCCAAAGCAGTGCTGCTCATGCACTCCACATTATTCTTTCTCTTCGATGGCACGGAGCAAAGGTAGAAGGGTCAAAAAGTAAGCTTACATCTGCTGGCCTATTCCACCTGCATTCAAAAATCAAGAAGAGCCAATCCCACAGATTTGCTGTAGCAGTACAGGAAATTAGCAAATGGTTGCAGTCCTCACCATGGAATCTGCAAAGGGTACACCAATTGGGTGAAATGTCTTCTCCTTTGTAGATTATCCAAGGTGTTTACTTTCCCATAAAACACTTTCCAACAGAAAGCCAAGACCTTAGGGGGGACAGGTTTGCACCAAACCTCCTTAAAAGGGAAAGGAGGAGCAAACACTGGACGACAAAGGGCTTTGAGGAAGGAAGCACAAGAAAAACTACCCGAGGGCACAAGAGTCCAAAACCTTTTATCTGATTCTGTCGTGTCAAAACAAACTTTTTCAAGGGTTCTCAAAATGCAAGTAAGACTCACAATCTCCTCATCCCTTAGACCTCGTCGGAACCCAAAGTCCCAAACTAGAGTCAACGGAGAATCAAAAGGGTAGCAAATAGAAGAAATAGGCTCTTTCTTATACCAGGAGATAGTGTATAAAGGTGGAAAGAGGTCCTTCGARGGAGCCTCTTCAACCCAAATATCTGCCCAAAAGAGAATTGAGCTACCAATACACACATCATACCTAAGAAAATTGTTGAGTTGAGGGAGGACACCGTGACTTGCCTTCTGAGGTGTTGCCAAAGTTGCCCGCCGAGAGACCCCAACATCCCATCTGCTCTCCGAGTGACCATGAATACTTCCTATCACTTCAACCCACAATCTTTCTCTCTCTAATGGCCATCTCCATAGCCATTTTCCCAACAAGCCGTATTCTTTTGCATCAGATTCCCTATTCCTAGACCTCCCTCTTCTTTATTCCTACATACCACCTCCCACTTCACCAGATGATCCTTCCTACTTTCCCTCGGTTCCCAAAGGAAGTCCCTCATCAACTTTTCTATCTTCTTAGCTTCTCTAGAGGGAATCCTAAAGACTGACAAGAAATAAGTTAGTAGGTTAGACAAAGTGACCTAATTAGGGTAATCCTACCCCTCAAAGAGATATAATTCTTTTTSCAAGAAGCCAATCTCTTCTTAAAATTCTCCAAAACTGGGCACCAAAAGCTACTCTCCCTAAGGTTTTCCCCTAAAGGAAGTCCTAGGTAGGTCATGGGCAAGGTGGCTATAGAACACTCCAAGCACCTTATAATTGCCTCCACCTCTCTATTATCCAAATTTATCCCTGCCACACTGCTCTTTTCAAGGTTGACTCTCAAATTATACATACTTCCAAACCTTTGCACCAAAAACTTTAGATTCCTAACTTCTCCAGGTCCCCTCCTTCACCAAAGACTAAGATATCATCTGCAAATTGAAGATGGGTAACTGACACTCCAGACCTGCCTACTTTCCAACCATTTTTTAAATTCTCCCTATCAGCCTTTGAGATCATTCTACTTAGCACATCAACTAACAAGGTGAAAAGGAAGGGCGAGAGAGGGTCTCCTCGCCTTTAGTCCCCTACATGTTGGAAAAAATCCTTTACCACTCCATTAATCAAAATAGAGAAGTGATCGGAGCTCACACAGCCAAAAATCCACTAACACCACCTTTCTCCAAAACCACACTTCCTTGAAACTTGTAAAAGGAATTGCCAATTGACCAAATCATAGGCCTTTTCCAAATCAAGCTTGCAAACGAATCCCTTCTTTTTGGATCTTCTCATTTCTCCCGGGCATTCATTAGCTACTAAGATTTGGTTTGTAATTTGCTTCCCTTGTACAAATGCCCCTTGATATTTGCTTATTAGGGAAGGAAGAACCTCTTAAATCCTCAATGACAACCCCTTAGTTAAGATTTTGTAGATACTAGTCACCAAGTTTATTGGTCTAAAATCCTTTGGGGATAGCATCAATCTTCTTAGGGACTAAGGCCAAGAAAGTAGCATTGACTCTTGGGCTTACTATATGATTGTTTGCGAACTCTCTAAACACCTCACAAAGATCTTCTTTCAAGATCTCCCAGCAATCTTGATAGAAGGCCATTGTAAAACCATCTAGGCTTGGCACCTTAGACCTATCCATAAAAAACATTGCCCTTCTAATCTCATCTTCTTTTTTTTTTTTTTTTGATCAATAACAAATTCATTAAATTCATTGAAACAACATAAGAATAATTACAACAAGGAAGACAAACACTCTTATCTTCCAAATATAATGTAAGCCCTCAAGAAAAGCAAAAAAAAGGAAAGGAAAGAACAGTTAAATTACAACTTGGGCCCAAAACATTGATTCCCTTTCTAACCCTTGTTTAGCTAATCCATCAGCTACAGAATTAACTGATCTTTTAACCCAACTCATCTTGACTTCCATCTCCCGCACCAGCCACTTGAATTTCCTCCTCTCATTGCTGTAGTTCCATAAACCACTGTTGTCTTTATTCAGCCACACTATCACCACCTCCAAGTCACCTTCAATTATGAGTTTTCTGATATTCATCTCCTTAGCTTTCGGGACTCCTTCCAATAACTACCAAGATCTCAGCTCTAAGGGAGTCACCCACTCCAATTGGGCCTGAGAACAGGGCAGAAATTATCCCATTCTAATCTCATCTTCTTCAAAACTTCTTTCCAACCAGCAAGCTTTTTGATGTATCAGATTTAAAAGCTCCTGGTTGTGAGCTTTTTCTTAATTAGTTTTAATAAAATTTGTTTGGTGCTGATAAAAAAAAAAAACAGCAATCTCCTGTTGCCACCTAAGATACAATGCCTCCTGAAATATATCTGGCTTTGCCTACCAATCTCAATGACTTGTTAGAGATCACTATTTTCTAGAAAAAAA